GCCGGCCTTCTCTACACAACTGCTGAAACGGAATCCTTTCCTGCACTGTCCGGGGCCCCAGCCGCATCCTTGGAGAGCATTCCTGTCCTTGGTTTCTCTAGAAAGTTCACATAAGCTCCAGAATTCCTAAACCCCCTCCCCTCCAACTCTGTGGTCCTCCAACAGAGGGGAGCCTCACTGCAAGGTCAGGGGTGAGCGGAGGGGGTGCCCCACCCAGGCCAGGCAAAGGGGGGTCGCACTGCAAGGGGCAGATTCATCTTTGGCTCTCTTCATCTTCATCCATGCCTAGTGCTCCTGGTCCCCCAGCAGGCCTCACCCCCAAGCCCCTCACACCAGCTTCCCTTAGGGGCTGGGACACCACACCCACCAGGAGGGAGGGTGGAATGGATGGCAGGATGTCCAGGCAGGCCCAGCTTCCTAACTGAGCTCACCTCTTATCATTTGGTGACTTGGGAAGTCACTGTCTCTCTGAGCCTCATTTTCCCCGTCCACAATAAAGGTCTATGTGCTGCTCCTGCCTTATGGGATTGCTGAGAATAAGATGCACCTACCACAGTGACTGGTGCTTGGTAATAAACCGCCGTGGAAAGCAGGTCTTTTAGACTCTGTTACCCGCTCCCAGCCGGCTTCTCTCCTTTCGGAGTGATTATTTTACTCCTGTGTTCCTCCTGTCCTTCAGAAGCCAAATTTTACCCTGGACATGGGCAACCAGGGAATGGTTGCCAAGGGCAGGGCTTTGGGAAAGGCTGCCTGTTGCCTAGGAAACTGCCCCACTCCAGGGTCCCTGGGGTTGCCCAGGTCGATGGGTACTGGCGCCACCTGCTGGATTCAGTGCCACACTGCTCTTAAAGCACTCGACCGAGGGATTCCCTTCTTCCGCAAGCAGGGAAGGCGCTCTGCCCCTGCTCTCCTCCCCCCCCAGTATCTCCACCATGAAAAGTCTGTCCCTCCTTTGCGTCCCTGGATATTCCCAGAGACCAGAGGCACAGAAAAGAGTTAGAAGCACCGTGGACCATGGGAGGGGTGGAAGCAGCATCCTTCCCCACAGAGAAGGCCCGAGGGCTGATTCCCCGTAGTGTCGGATCCAAATGAAGTTTCTCCCCTTAATTGATTTCCTGGAGCCTGGAACATATTTCGTTCCCCACTAGCCTTTCCACAGGGGAAGAGCAGTAGGGAGGGAGAGGTTAAAGTTGGGGGTGGGAAAGTGACATGCAGGGTCATGGCAAGGTCCCTACACAACAACAGCTTCTGGCTCCCTCTTCCTTCCCAGCCGCTCTACCCCTGGTGACCTTCGTCCTGATTTCCCTTTTCCGGAGAACCTTCCCACCCACCTTGCCAGCTTGTCAGAGGAGACCCCTGTGGCTTCAGACCAAGCCCAGGGGGCAGAAGAGAAGCAGAGACCTGCTCTGAGAGACCAAGTCTGCTGAGTTGGATGCAGGCAGCCCCTGATGTACATTTGCCCTGATGTGTGGGGTCAAAACACAGGAGGCTGTTGGCTGGGGTGGGGGCGGGGGGGG